AGTTCTGGCTTCTTCCTACTAATTTTTTGTCCTATACTGTACCTTACAATATGATTCAGAGTAATTAATATTTTTCACCTCTCATCAGATGCCCTTTAAAGTATTGTATTTTTCTCTCTATTTAAAATCAATAAATCTTTTTTTACTTATGCGCCCAAGTATTTTATCGTTGGTAACTTTTTGTACCCATGGAATTCTCAGGATCAGTATGTATGTATACATCTCAAAGGCATCTATTCTTTTTTCTGTTTCAGCTTCCATTGTCCAACTTTCACAGCCATATAGCAAGACAGAGAAAACGTAATATCTGATCATTCGATTTGTGAGCTCTAGACTAAGGTCTGGTATTTCAAAAAATGTTTTTATCTTCATGAGTATTTTCCTCGCTTATTCGATTCGTGATTAAATCTCTTCTTTTTTGTTACACTAGCTATTGATATTTGCTCTCAAATAATAAATAAATATTATATGTAATTTGCACGTATTTGATAGCCTTCTCCCCTTTAGAGTGTCCTAGGTTCCGTAAAGTGTTTAACGTTTGGACTTATTGTTGTCAATTTAAAGCAAAACCAATTAAACAGCCAATGGGCGCCAAACTACCCTAAATACACCTTTTACTCCCATACACCGACAACTATTCCCTTAATTTTAATCAACATTCCAATAATTGCATCTAAATTTCATCTTTTTTATTAATTTTGCTTCTGTTTTCTCTTTTCTCAACCACCCCACTAGCATCTAACACTTTATAATCACCCATTAACACATACCATACCTAAATTTTTTCACCCCCTCATTTTCTTTCTTTCTATTCATCATACCCCTTCCTCTTTCACCATCTTATCCCATGACAGTTTCTTTCTTTTTTCTCATCCTCCTTTCAGTTCTTTTATGACTCACTTCTTCACATATTATTTACTCATGTCTCTTATTTCTTGGGGTCTCCTTACTTGTCTTTGTACTGTTCTTCAACATTATTTCTCATTATTAACTAACTTATATATTAACCTTCATCATTAACTTTAAACTTAAACTCCATCACTAAAATTAAAATCCATCATTTATCTTCACACATCCATTCGATACTTTTAGTCTGTGGATTCCATTACTACCTATACTACACATTGCACTTAACCAGATATTACGATATGCAGTCAATCTAATCCCCTCACAGTCTCTATTATTTCATTCTTTCTCTAATACATATTCACACACATATCATTTTTTCTGGTTTTCCATTTACATACTTAATTATCTAACTTTGTTCATGCAGTTCACAACAACATAGTATCCAATTTATTCTTGCTGTTGTATATTACTCAACCAACATTTTACATTTCCTCTTTCCTATATTAATATTTTCATTCATTCTTTCTCAGCTTCATTTATATTCATTTTAACATACTTCACAATAGGGTAATACTATAGGTATTAACACTATCAAAAACTACAATATAATAATAGTTAGAATATCATATTTTGTTATCATATCTCATAAAACTTTTTAATAGGCTTATTCATTTTACTAATTAAAATTTTTAAACTCCCAGAGATTTACACAACAGGTCCCTTACCGTTGCTAGGCAACCACCATTACCCAATCAAAAAATAACTTTTTTATTTCCATGTCATTGGATTTCAACCTTATCTTTCACTATATACTAATTTTTTATACCCTTTCTACACTATTATGCGGATAGTACCACATCACTTCCTTTTCTACCTTTATCATTTTTATACTACTTATGATGTCATAAATTAAACCTTAAACATTAATTCGAGTAATTTAATAACTGATTTCTTTTTTAATAATAGAAATTTGCCGATTTAAGACAATAAATTTTATCATTTAAACAAATTTAATTTTAACTACAGGATCATTAATAAGATATTAGGTATTATTATAACAAAATAAATTTTATAATTTTTATAATTAAAAAATTACATTAGTTTCATACCTAGTACCCATACCTAGTCATGTTAAGCTGTCTTCTTAAATTATGTTCCTGTCACCTCAGCCAGTTGGTCTGTGTCGTTTTAACTGACAATTACCACGTGTTAAAAATCGAGCAGAGAGACATGTAGTCTCTAAAGTAATAAATTTTATCCAATGTCATCGACCTAGAGTCACAACATAATTAAAATTTGTAATGATGTAAACCCATATATGGATGTCACAGCCACAACTATATTGTTAGCTTCAACTACATAAGGCACTGGGGATGATCTGATTAGATCGAAAACGTTATGCTACTACATAAATTTTGACAACACTTTTTAAAAAGTTTTAACTATATGTTTTCATACCAAAATACTATTGTGAAGTGTTTTAACTTCGGTATGTTTCATTATGAAATACTTCACACCCAAGAGAGCGCCGTCAACACAAACAAAAATCATAGTCGGAGGACTAAATACGGAATCCACAGAAAACTTATATAGAAAAAGAATATCAGAGAAGATTACTAAGAATGAAATATTAGAAAACTATAAAATCGAGGAAAACTGGGAAAAAATTTAAAAATAACATAATTAACGCAGCAACAGAATCACTTGGAGAGAGAAAACTAATAAAAACTAACATATGAAAAAAGAAAACTTCACTGTTTAAAGGGGATGTAACGACGCATGAACAGAAATGAAACGAATACTTTAGACGAATAAAAAGGGAACACTGGAGAATGTGGAGAATGATTAAAAGACAAAGAAAAGAAGAGAACTAGCTAATAAAAATGAAACCCATTCAGAAGGGAACATGGGCAGACTACTTTTGATCCCTATTTGCTAAAGGTGACAATAATGATGAACCACCAACACCAGAGGTAAAGACGAACGAAGAAATACATATTGAGGAGGAAGAGGTTTAAGGAATCATTAAGAAAATTTAAAATCATAAAACCACCAGAAGAGGACAGAATACCGAATGAACTCATAAAGTACAAAGGACCAGATCTGACCAAACAACTATTAAAACTAATCCAAAAAAATAATAGAACAAAACAGAATTCATTAAGAATGGAGGTCAAGCATCCTAATACCTCTCTTCAAAAAGAGAGACAAATCGGACTCAGAAAATTACAGAGAAAATAATTTATTAAACACAACACTAAAATTAACAATAAAAGCGAAAACAAATAAACTTAATGAAATTATAACATTAGCAGAAGATATAACATAACAAGGTGTTAGGTCGGGAAGATCATGCACCTACGCTATATTTATAATGAGGCAATTACAAAAGAAATCATTAGAATACAAGAAACCGGCATATCTATGCTTCGTGGATCTTAAGAAGGCATTTGACCGGGTCAAATTAAAGGACGTTATCCACTTATTGTACGCAAGATAGATACCTTTAGGAATAATCAGAACGATCAGAAATATCTACGAAAACAACAGAATAAAAGTAAAAGTAGGAGAAGAACTAACTGACCATGTTAAAGCTGGCAATGTGATAAGACAGGGAGATTCCCTGAGACCTCTATGGTTCAACCTGATTAGGGATGAAATAATAAAAAAAAGTAAGAACTAAAAATACGAAATGGGAGAAAAACAACTTAAAATATACGCAATACTACTCTCTTAAAGTGAAGATAATTTTCAACGTATGTTACACCAATTTAATATAACCGCCAAAAAATTTAACATTTTAGTTTTACCAAAAAATACAAAATGCATTTCTATAACAGCAAATTTACTTAGTAAATATAACTTGGATGTGGAAGGCTGGAAGGAAGTGATGGAGTTTAAATATCTAGGGTTCACATTATCCAGCTACAGAAAGCTCGAAACAGAAGTGGAAGATCAAGTCAATAGAGCAAACAGAGCCGCAGGTTACCTGAATGAAACAATATGGAGAAATAAAAATATCGGGAAAGAAATGAAAGGCAGAATTTACAAAACAGTCATCAGGCCAATAATGACATACGCGGGAGAAACAAGACCTGACACAGAGAAGACAAAAGGGATGTTAGAAATAGCAGAGATGAAAACACTTGGAAAATTGATGGTAAGACACTATAGGACAGAGTTAGAAGTACATATATACGACGTAGATGTAAGAATATCAAGAACTGGGTAAGAAATATAAGAATAAAATGGAACGATCATGTAAGCCGAATGACAACAATAGAGTAGTAAAGACGGCAAAAGACGGATATCCAATAGGCAAACGATCAGTAAGAAGACCAGGAAAACGATGAAACGACAACTTACTGGAAACACATTGAAAAACAGGTACAGAGTCATGTATACATAAAAAGAAGAAGACCTTTAAATTGCATCGATGATTCAACTGCAGCTGTACAAGACAGTGTATTTTATGATTTTAAGCAAGTGAAAACCTCACTAATGAACAACAAAATTAAAGTAACCATTATTTGATTATAAATATGTTGATAAAAACAGATTGTTACCAACTGTTCACTAATAAAATCAATAATCATTAATCCAGTACCCCACAGCGTACAAAATATCAAATAATTTCAACTGTATTTTTAACAACGATAGAGAGGTATACTCAGTTCGCTGATCCAAGTCCCAACTGTCTAGTAAATTCAATATTTATTTTTTGCTAGGTTTGTTAAATTTTTTAGCCAAGGTAGTGGCTGTAAATGACTATACAACCAAGGATACGTACTCATAACCAATATTTAAACAAAAAAATATTCATATTTTATAGTCGTTTAGACATTAGTATTAACAAATGGAAAGTTTTTAATGAAAATAAATGAATATGCACTTCCATTATTCAATTGTAAGAGGTAGTCATTTTTGTATTGTATGTTTCCGACAATGAATCTGTCATTTTTACCCAAGTTGGGAGAACGAGCTATAATAAGTAGCTTATACCACTTATATATTTGAAAAATTAAAGCTGTAAAATAAGAATTAATGGTAAAAATTTAACGTGATGCGTTAATTTGGCCAGAATTTAATTTAATTTAGATTTTAGGTAATTTATGATTTTAGTCATTATATTTTTTATTAATGTTTTGCAGCTTATCTGGCCTGTCTCCATTTATGGGTCACACTGACGTAGAAACCATGGCGAACGTCACTATAGCCAAATATGACTTCGAGGATGAAGCATTTGATGAAATATCGGAAAACGCGAAAGACTTTATTAGAAAACTCCTCGTTAAAGACATGAAGTAAGTAACGTTGCAGCTAATAAAATTGTATTATAGATATATAACGGTTAAAATGGCAAACAATTATAGTTTTCATTTCTATTTTATAAAGTATATTACAACTTGAAAAATCTGTCGGTATAACAGATTATAAGACAAACAACTAATGTAACATTATTTTAGTCAACTGTTAGTCGCTTCCTGAATGCTCGTTAAGAACAAAATAAACACTTTAAAAATACACCTTTATTTTAATTACCTGTTAAAATACCACATCGCTGAACTTGACTGATCGATCAGTTTTGGCAGCCCGTACTACCCTTGACTTTGAAAATCGGTCTAGAATAAAAATTTTGTAGTTTCACAGAGAAAAAGTATCACAAAGATTTTCGTAGCTACCGATGATGCTTCACATTGTACACGATTTTATGATAAAGTTTATATTATAAGGATCATATTTTATAACAGAAACCCGTATTCTGACGATGGACCACAACAAAACTGTTTCTTTCTATACGCCAAAAATTCTTCTATTTATTTTCTATATACTGGTTCTTTTCAAAATTATGATCGTAATAATGTTTTTTCACCTCTTCGATTCTTACGTGCTTACTTTTAGTTTTGACTGCTCTGTTCATTATTTGTGCTACTCGTAGCATACTTTTTATTTCTTTAATGTTCTTTCTCATTCTTAATCTATATGTCATAACAGGTCTAATATAAACCTCGTATATTTTGCTTTTGTTGAAAACCTCTGAAAATATATTATTTACAGTTTTATTGGGAATAACTTGTTTTGATTGTATTTGATTCCTCCATCCTTTAGCAAATATAAAATGAAATGAGTCATACGCGTGATCACCTTATTTTATCATTTAGCTGTCCTTATGAGTTGTAGCAAGAAGCAGATAATTTATTTTTTATTTAGCTTAGGGCATACAATAAGAACACATAATTAAAAATTGATGATTATTACAATTACAATCTGGTCATAAGTGACCAATGAACAATTTTAATTTAACCTAAATTACTACTGTTCCTTAAAATTAAGAGCTTACCCCATAGCGTCTCTTATCTTAACTAATAAGATAGTGCACTACTCTAACATGCACACGCACACAAGCACTACGTTCTGCTTTTTACTATCACCTATCACTCAAACTAGTTCAAAAGGCTTTGTCTCTTCAATCTTCTAGTTTGCCCAGTAGTATCGAGGAGCTCGATTGCCTCAATATACTCGTGCCTATGAAGTTGTTGCTCGTGAGTTTCTGCCATCTTCTTGATGATTATGTCCACAGTTTCCATTCCTAGGTCCTTATGGAGGTCACTGTTTGTCACATACCAATGAGCATCTACAATTTTTCTCAGTATTTTATTCTGGAATCTTTGTATTATTGTTATATTACATGGTCTAGTACACCTCCATAGTGAGTGGGTATCCATAAGTTCATACAGGTCTAAATATTTGTTTGTAAAGTAATAACTTATTGTGCATTGGCAATGTGGAGTTTATTCCAATTATCCAATCAATTTTTTTGTACCTTATATTCAGTTCTTCCCTTTTTTCTTTACGTGAGCCTTTCAACGTAGCTTTGCATCTAATATTATACCCAAACACTTGGCAGTATCTACATATTGTACTTGGATATTATTGATTATAACTGGTATATATTGCATTTTTTTGTTGGTGAAATTTACATGGACAGATTTAGCTTCATTCAGCCTGATTCTCCATTTTTGGTTTTGGCTAACTGCTATTTGGACCTTGTTGGTCGCTTCTTCAATAGTCGTTCCTACTGCTTGGATAGCTGTATCAATAGCAAAGGTGGCCACTGCGTTGTCGTCCAGTACAGGTATAACACACGTGTATAGTAGGTACAGGACCAGACCCAACACACTGCCTTGTGGAACACCAGTATATCAATATAACCTAATACATTTTCGGTCGCATTCAGGAATTTCATCTTCTTATTTTTCCCGCTGGTCTATTATTATTTTACCCTCTTTATCTCTTTACATCTTTTGTTTGATTTTTTTTTCTTTTGTTGTTTATGGTAAAATTCTCTTGTCTCTGTTGGCTGGTCCAGTTTGTTTCTACCGAATATGTCATTATTGGTCTGATGACTGTTTCGTAAATTCTGCCTTTCATTTATTTTCCGATATTTTTATTTCTCCATATTGTTTCATTCAGACAACCTGCGGCTATTGTGCTCTATTCACCTAATCTTTCAGTTTCGTTTCGAGCTTTCCTCTTCTTCTTCTTCTTTTTATATAGACATGACTCTGTCCGTTTTTCAATGTGCCTCCAGTAAGTTGTCATTCTATCGTTTTCGTGGTCTTCCCGCTGATCGTCTTCCTATTAGGGAACCATCTCTTGCCGTCTTTACTACTCTATTTGTTGTCATTCTGCTTATATGATCTATATATGGCTCCATTCTACTCTTCTATTTCTTACCCAGTTTTTGATGTTCTCCATTTTGCATATACGTCGTATATCTGTATTACTAACTCTGTCCCATAGTGTCTTACCATCATTTTTTTAAGTGTTTTCATCTCTGCTGTTTCTAACATCCTTTTTGTCAATGTTATGCCTAGATATCTAAACTTCATCACTTATTCTATTATCTGACCTTCCAGCTCCAATTTACATCTTAGTAAAGTTGCTATTATTATAACCATGCAGTTTGTCTTTTTTGGGAAAATTTACATGTTAAATATTCTGGCAGTTATATTGGATGTTTCTGGCACATCCAGCTTCCCTTTGGAGCGAAGTTATAATTATGCAATAGATTAAAAAAAATAAAAGGAAAAAAAGAACACATTTAAAAAAATATTTTAAATTCGTTATTTCTCAAGCACCGAATGTTTTCATTTTGTTGGGCTTTGTTAACATTCGTGTTTTCATTGACACTTGTAAAATGAAAGTATGGCTTCATTGCATAGTTGGGCAATCCTTGATTTAGCTGCTAACTCAACTGCTAATTCATCTGTTGTGTCTTTATTTTGGTAAATACATTTCGACCTAATCTCAGGATATTGGTTAATTGTTAATTCCGATATTAAATAGACTTACTCGGTTATTTTGACACTCAAAAGAAGTAAATTTTACTCAGGAATAAACGTCGAATCTTGATAATTGCGTTTCGTAATGTTTACTGCCAAATACGTAGAATCAATTGCGGGAAGGATTGTATTGGCCACAAATGGCAATTGTGGTTTTGGAAACTGCTGCGGGAAAGATTTCTGCACGGATGTGCGGTCGAACCAAATCCTCAGGTCTTTCAGCCATGAGTTCTCTAATCTAGTAATAAAGTAATCTAGTAATGTAGTAATATAATAAGATAGTAAACTATATTACTATAATAGATACAATTAGTGAAAATATACTGACTGAGGCTGTCTCACAATCTGATTCCTTCCGATGTGGATATATTTTATCTGTTTATGTTTCTACTTTTATTTGTTTTTGGTATCATTTAAATTAAAGCTATGTTTTGTTTTTATGATTTTAACGGGAATTTAGTCTTTATTACGTCATGTAGTCGGAGTCTGTCCTTTGCCCTTGATAAATTTGCGATAGACACGCTATTCAACTTTTATTAGCATTCTTCTGGTTTTGTCCTCTTTTGAAGATGGATATTGTTATGCTTAGGTAGTTCTGGGCCATCACACTTCAGTAATTCGTTCACTATATTTTTTAGCTCGTTTTCTTCAATCTTAGCTAATTTGGTATTTCGTAATCTTCTATGCGCTCTATCTCATTAATTTTATAAAAATCTTTGAATACTGTTTCTCTATAGGCAAGCGGTGAACGCTCAAAAAGTGCTTTAGTTTTCGATAAATTCATAATAACTCGCTGGTAACCGAGCAAATTTGATACCCACATGTTCTCAATAATAATCTGCACAACTTTTCTAAATATTTTTTTTTTATTAGAGTGGAGGAACATCTAAATAAACAGGAGAAAACAAAAAAAATTAATTCATTAATTTTAATGAAACAATATATATTTAACTCACAATATTCTCCGTTCAAATATTTCGTTTTTTTAATTTTGACACAATATACTATGGACATTTTCGCAAAAAATAAAATATAGTCAAACTATTGATTTTGATTTAACAATCAATAGCGACTTTTTGAAAAAATCGTATGCTACTCGTTGGACATTTTTTTCTTTATTAAAAATTTGTGTTGCAAATTTTTTAGTCCTCGTTTTTAACTAATTCTATGTTAACATTTAATATTTAAAGAATTTTTTTTAGAAAGTTTTAGATTTTCAAATAAAATGATTAAAAATTTTTATTCGGTTATCTCGTTTATTCATAGTTAAAAACGCGCAAAGAAAATCAATTCATTTTTGTGAGAGACTTTTAACTCTTTGGTAATCAACTAAATTTGTTTATAATAATGATAGTTTGATAATTTTTCGTCAATAATATATTTGATAAGGGTGTTAGTAATAAAATTGTGATATTAATTATCTTAATATCATAATCATCATCACGGTGCTACAGCCCTTAGAGGGCCTCGACATCTCTGCTTTCAGCGTCATTTTACTCTGTACAATCTCTTGGGTTTTCCAGTTGGCAATACCGATCTTCTCAGCATACTATGTTAGATCGTCTATCTACCTAAGGTTTGGTATACGCCGTCTTCTCATTCCCACCGGCTCCGCTGTTAAAATCCTTTTTATTGACCACTGCAGACGGTTTCGCTTAAATATGGTGGTAATACTTTTTTTGCCAAACTTATACTTGTAGTATTCTTAATTCAAAGTTATATCTTCTTCTTAACGTCTCTTATCAATTCCCCTTGACGTTAACGATTAACACGGCAGGACACTCCATATCTTGAGCTATTCTGAACAGTTGTTTGGCCCTCCGTATCCCGGTTCATTCCCTGACATTGAACTGAAATTGAACCACGAGGCTTGTTCTCTACCAATTCCCATGTGTCCTTTCTAAAGAATATTATACTTTCCTAACATTATATGCCCAAGATATTTTATTTTCCTGGAT